TGGTGATGGTGGGGTATATACCTACACTTTTATCTTTGATGTATCCCCACAGGAAAAAATCACAGAGGGATGATATCCGAATATTTTTGATGTCAGTTCAAGGGAACATCATCATTTAGCCCTTAACATAACATTGACAGGAATTAACTTAATACACACCCGACTCATACTTAAATACTTAAACCAACATAAACAAAACGTGGAGTTTGTCTTTCCGGTGGTACCAACTGAAGGGGTCTTAAAATGTACATGTACTTCCCTAGTATACAAACATTTTTAGGTAATACAAAAGACCCCGTAGATATGAAGGATAAATCGGAGATATACGAAATATCTAGTAAAGACTTGTAATCCGGTATACATAGTAAATATTTCGTTTTAAAGAGCAGATGCTTCACTTCACTTCGTTGGGATAAACTTAGCTTGAAAAAAAGTCATATAGTTGACGATATATACCTATACTCGTAGTTAAGCAAGTAAGTAGGTAGTTAAAGTGAATTAGATTGTCATGAAATTTTAGTTTAGAGATTCGTAAAAACAAACGCTTCTTAATGAATAATGATGAAGAGCTCGTAAGTTTTCGCTTGTAATTATTAGGCAATTGGACCGGCAATCTTCGATGGAACTTTAACTGCTTACCATTATTTACATTTTCCAATAAACTTTCTTAGAGGATTTTCTAGACGACGTATGTTTCGCAGAAACGGTTGGTTTATGGTACCCACCAACAAACTGGCTGCCCAGGTTACAATTCACGAATTTTGTACATTGTACATTAAAGAATAAAGTATGGAAATGGCTACAACTAGAATAAAAATAATAAAGGGGTGTCATAGCATAAATGGCAATACGTTGCGTAAAGTAGTGTCTTAAAGTGCGTTTCACTAATAATGGCCATTATAAAACTGCAAAACATTGTGCATTTAACCAATTCTCTATCTTTAATATTACCCGTGTAATCCCACGCGATTTGGAACACACTGTATAATACATATTATACTATTTCTTCATTATTGGCAGAATGTTTAGAACCAATTGCTTCCCGGTTTGATTGTAGCAGTTTTTAAGTAAGATTACTGATCAAGTGATCACTGATTAGTTTAGTAGGTTTGTTCATGGTAATGGGATACAACCTCACGGCGAACTAACAAGTAAGAATTGTTTTTTGATGCTTATTAAAGTAGTTACAAAATAGTTGTGCCAATTATTTTTTTCTGATGATTTTGTACAACTGTTTTCGGCCGAAAACGGTTGTACAAAGACAGTGATTATAGTCGTTTTTTTTTGGTAACTCATCTCTTAAGTTGGCAGTTACTAGTTAGTACAAGTAGGTACTTCCTTGGGTACTTCCCATATATATAAGAGAAGAAGAGAAGTATATGGATAACCGCCTATGATTGCAATGTGCAAATTGTTCGCCATAAAAGAGAGCTGCCCTATTCCTTAGTCCTCAACTCTGTATTTATGCGCAAACTCCCCAAGTAAATATTTACTTCTCTCCGCCTACTTTTAAGTAGCGCCAACTTCAAATTTCATAACCTATAACTCGAAAATAGGGTTAAAATTTTATTAAACCATTATTGTGTGCAATTACCATATGTAAACACAACCACGCACCATCCGGAAACTTCACCCAGACTTCTATTCGCTTCATGCAGATTCATATTCACCACATTGGCCCCATTCCACCTGCCGACTCCTATCACTATTGTCTGATCCTGTGATGTCTTTAGATAAGTATACTAGCTGGCCGAGGCCCACCCTCCCAAGACCAATCGCCGCCGAAGCGTTTCTTACCTCTGTTGACTATATCGCTTCGATTCCCCTACTAGCATCTTCACCGATCAGCGACGACAATTTGAATCTTCCCTTTTTTGTGCCCTCAACATTGTTTTCGACACACAAGGATTCGGGACCTGCAGTCAATGGCCTACTTGAATGATTTCACTGCCAACTCAAATCAGCGCTCACGTGCCACCCAGTGCGTTCTGGTTCAAGGTACTCCGTATCGTTCTGCTTGGAAACTGTAGCATTTTCACGGAGAACTTTCGAGCTTCCTCAGCGGAGTTTGTTTACGGTTACACCCTTCAACTTCGAAGGCAAACTTTGTAACGATTTAGAAACTTAAATTGCAATTGAAATAATATACCTGTAGGGATTATATCTTGCAACATGAAATTGGATAAGTTCGAATCAGCTATAATATAAAGTGATACATTACCAATGTTCAAAGAAACAATTAAATTAAAGACATTTACTGATTTTAAAATAAAATTAACATTGTCGAGTTGGAAATCTTTCAGGTGTTAAGTGACCCCCATATAACTTCGTGCCCCCATCATGCTTGTGTGCATCCAAATCAATGCAGTCATAGCGGTTAAAATGACGAGAACACAACCTTGTTTTTACATCATCGAATTCCGATAGTTCACATGCTTGCAGTCACCGATTCTTGTTGCTTTTTCACTTGGGAATCTAATAACAAGTATGGCATAAATGAATTGATTGCAGATAATTGCATTGTAACTTACTTGTGCCATGAAACCGAAGAATCCACTTTCCCACAAGTACCTGCATTTCTTTATTTCTAATAATGAACACACTAAAATTGCCAAACATTAGGTATTCCTTTACAATTATTGTGTATCACTTACGTATACTGATTTATATAACTACGAAAGGCTTCTTTACTATTAAAATTAAAATTAAACAAAAGTTCAATAACTCATAAACAAAACAAACAATTTAACCTCAATCCGTTATGTCAAACTGGAGTAAATGCTTGGTAAATAACACTACATATAATAACAGGCAAACGCATTAGCGCCTAGTTCCCAACTAATGACAGAAGTATATTTCCATCCACTAACGTTGGCGATAGGCGTGTCCACTCGTTTATCCATATACTTCTCTTATTTATATGGGTATAACCATATATATAAGAGGGGTAAAGCATATATATGAATATATATGGGGTAAAGTCATATATATAAGAGAAGTATATGGATAAACGAGTGGACACGCCTATCGCCAACGTTAGTGGATGGAAATATACTTCTGTCATTAGTTGGGAACTAGGCGCTAATGCGCTTGCCTGTTATTATGTAGTGTTATTTACCAAGAATTTACTCCAGTTTGACATAACGGATTGAGGTTAAATTGTTTGTTTTGTTTATGAGTTATTGAACTTTTGTTTAATTTTAATAGTAAAGAAGCCTTTCGTAGTTATATAAATCAGTATACGTAAGTGATACACATTAATTGTAAAGGAATACCTAATGTTTGGCAATTTTAGTGTGTTCATTATAAAGAAATGCAGGTACTTGTGGGAAAGTGGATTCTTCGGTTTCATGGCACAAGTAAGTTACAATGCAATTATCTGCAATTCATTTATGCCATACTTGTTATTAGATTCCCAGGTGAAAAAAGCAACAAGAATCGGTGACTGCAAGCATGTGAACTATCGGAATTCGATGATGTAAAAACAAGGTTGTGTTCTCGTCATTTTAACCGCTATGACTGCATTGATTTGGATGCACGCAAGCATGATGGGGGCGAAGTTATATGGGGGTCACTTAACACCTAAAAGATTTCCAACTCGACAATGTTAATTTTATTTTAAAATCAGTAAATGTCTTTAATTTAATTGTGTTTCTTTGAACATTGGTAATGTACCTATCACTTTATATTATAGCTGATGCGAACTTATCCAATTTCATGTTATATTCAAGATATAATCCCTATAGGTATATTATTTCAATTGCAATTTAAGTTTCTAAATCGTTACAAAGTTTGCCTTCGAAGTTGAAGGGTGTAACCGTAAACAAACTCCGCTGAGGAAGCTCGAAAGTTCTCCGTGAAAATGCTACAGTTTCCAAGCAGAACGATACGGAGTACCTTGAACCAGAACGCACTGGGTGGCACGTGAGCGCTGATTTGAGTTGGCAGTGAAATCATTCAAGTAGGCCATTGACTGCAGGTCCCGAATCCTTGTGTGCCGAAAACAATGTTGAGGGCACAAAAAAGGGAAGATTCAAATTGTCGTCGCTGATCGGTGAAGATGCTAGTAGGGGAATCGAAGCGATATAGTCAACAGGTAAGAAACGCTTCGGCGGCGATTGGTCTTGGGAGGGTGGGCCTCGGCCAGCTAGTATACTTATCTAAAGACATCACAGGATCAGACAATAGTGATAGGAGTCGGCAGGTGGAATGGGGCCAATGTGGTGAATATGAACCTGCATGAAGCGAATAGAAGTCTGGGTGAAGTTTCCGAATGGTGCGTGGTTGTGTTTACATATGGTAATTGCACACAATAATGGTTTAATAAAATTTTAACCCTATTTTCGAGTTATAGGTTATGAAATTTGAAATTGGCGCTACTTAAAAGTAGGCGGAGAGAAGTAAATATTTACTTGGGGAGTTTGCGCATAAATACAGAGTTGAGAACTAAGGAATAGGGCAGCTCTCTTTTATGGCGAACAATTTGCACATTGCAATCATAGGCGGTTATCCATATACTTCTCTTATATATATGTTATCCATATACTTCTCTTATATATATGGTTGTACTGTACCAGAGAACATGGTCTCTCCATGTCTCTGTACTGTACACGAGAGAGAGTGCGATGGAAGTCGGCCATTTGCAAAAGCCACTTATGAGTCATTTTTGTTGTGGCTGTTGCAGTGACATAAAAAGAATGGTTAGTTGTTGTGCTTGTGGTTGCTCCAAAACAGAAAAAAATAACACTTTGGGAATTACATTTCATGTGTAAGTATTGATACCAATATTATTTTTATATAGTACATTTAAATTTACAAATTTTTTATCGGAATGTAGTTTGATGTTAGTTAAACAAAAGTCATAGGCGGAGTAGACGCATGGGAGTTTAGATTGTTTTCGTGTAAAATTCTTTATAATTGTATCCTTCTACAACTGTAAGGTAGGTACGCCACTGGAACAGGAAACTACTGTCCGCCATTTGCAAAAGCCATCGCGGTCGCACGTATATTGTTGATATTCTCCTTCCTGGTATTCTTTATTCATTGGTAATTGCGTACAACTTTGCTCTTTTTTTGGTATCTTTTATGGTAAAGGAATTATGATCATAGGGGTCTTCTTAGGTGCTACACCCTGCATTCTAAGCCTTAAAGGAGGTATTAGGCGATAATTGTTTGTCATAGTACAGATTTTCTGCAGGGGTGTTCTGTTCTGTCACTGTGCCAAATAGACCTACGTTTCTATGCCACATCTTTGTTTATTCAATAACCATAGAATATACAATACAATACTCAACGATAGTCTATTGTCTATATTCTGTGGTCTAATCTCATTCCTGATGTGATTGACGTCATTCAAAATCGAATCGAATGTGAATTTCCCACTCTGCACTCTTTCCTTTATTTACATTTTGTTCCATGTCTCCTCAAGTCCACATTGCAATCTTTTTAATTTAACAAAACGTTGTGGAATCTATAATGGTTAATTTTTTGAAAAATTTGCACATCGTATTACTACATAACCTGTGCATTTCTTAAGGCCCTCTTGGTATTCTCCGTTTCGAAGCTAAAAGTAAAGTTTTAGGTTTGTGGACTGTGACTATTCGAACCTAATCAGGGGAATTTCCAAAAATAATCCATGTATGACGGAATGAATAAGTAAATATGTATTCAATATGGATGTACATATCGTATTATATCCGTCCTCTGATTAAATGGTTTTTACGTAAAACAACAGGATTATGTGAACTTCAAAGAATATGTTATGGTGAAAAGCACGGTTCGGTCCGTATAAAAGGTGTGGAAAATTCATTAAACTTGTCGAGATGTCCACAAATCAAGTTGTTAGTTAACCATTTAAATGACGTTTGTGACAATCAAAGGTTTACCGCATCAAATGAAAGGGAAATTTTAGAAGGTGCAACACGTACAGTTTTATGGGTCAAGCAAATAAATCCACAAGTGCATTTACAATTTGTGAAAAGCTTTAGTAGATGTGTCGAACAAATTTGGGGCTATCGCCAGTTAATGACAGAAGTCGAAACGTTACGTACTACATCCTATGATGCAGATAACCTAGATCACGAAAGGAAATTATACGAGCTATGGAATAATTTGAAGCCTGATGAGGTGTTGACTTCAAGAGTTTCCAAACAATGGCAAGATATTGGATTTCAAGGTGATGATCCAAAGACAGACTTTCGTGGAATGGGATTGTTGGGTTTGGAAAATTTATTATTCTTCGCCGAGGAGTTTAAGGGTCCAGCATCGCATGTACTTTCACATTCTTTACACCCTCATTATGGCTACGCATTTGCAATTGTAGGCATAAATATTACCAGCATGGCGTGGTGTTTGCTTAGAGATGGAAATGCAAAGACATATTTTTATAATACGTGTAAGAGTTTACCTAATATTCACCATTTTCATCAATTTTATTGCTATTTATTTTATGAATTTGATCGTTTTTGGATTGAATGCAAACCAAAGAATATAATGGAGTTCTCTGACATACGTACTAAATTTGAGGAAAATATCAGAGCCAGTTTATTAGATCCTCATGGCGTGTTTCGTATTAATGTTTCAGTCGACACTGTGTGACATTAATTTTAAGAGTATCTTCACTTTAAACACTTGCACTGACAAATGAGTAATGACCCATTATTTCACATTTTTATGAAACTACCTACACGTTTAATCTCTCTCTTCTACCACATTGTAACAGAAAAAAGGTATTGTGTGATAATAGCTTTAGTTCTTAATTGTGTTACTTAGGCTTACTGTATTGTATATAACTCGACTTCATTCTTGTAATAATAATCTTTTAAGTATGCAGTGAGACTTTATTATTGTTATTATTATTGTTCCAAGTGTGACATATTTTCATAAAGTTGACTTTGGGTACTATATAATAGGTATTACTACTATAGGTACCTACTTCTAAATCTTTATCAACTTCTCAAAGGTATGTTTACACCTCGGTTTACACACGGAAAAAAGGCTCCCTTTTCAAATAAAACACATTTGGAAAGCGTACATGAAGCAACAATTTTAGAATTCTTTTAACCTGTTAGGGTTAGGTGTTCACACTTGCCCCTTAAGGCTACTCCTACATTGGAAGCGGAGTCGATCTGGCCACCAGATCCGATCCGGCCAGGACAAACCAGTCCAGACTCGGCGCTCTACATTGCAGCTAGGTTTCACCAAAGCTTCCATGCAACTGGAAGTAGAAGAAAATTAGAAAAAACCTTAGAGAAGGAAAGAGTGAGGAGCGATAATGATCGTAAAGTGAAGCCCACATTTGTTTGTTATTTCACCGAAAACTAACCTATAATTTATACCTGTGCAGGTACTTTCGTGTGTTTTTTTGCTATCACTTCCGTGCACTACAATGTACCATTGTCCAAGAATGTTTTTAATCTCACATTTCGAGACTTAAGGATCGTATAATCACGAAAATGGAAATTAAAAAATCTTTGGCTCCGAAAATATGGCCGCCCCATGCTTCAACGCGCAGCATTGCCCTTGATAGGATATTATCAGTCCCCTTTCTTTCATAGGAAAAAACATATATATATATATATATATATATATGCATCTTTGTTAACTACTGCTTAAACTTTAACAAAATATTTTGTTAATTAACTTTTAGACTCTATTAATCAAACTGCAAGGTTTTTCTTACGTTTCTTACTAAATTTCCGGGGGTTTCACAATCTTAATAATTACGATCATTATTAAACAAACTTTTCACAATTTCAGTATTTTATTTAACGTTATTGTTAACGTTCCTTCCCTACTGTGCTTCAAGTCAAAGCGTTATAATAATAATAATTGACTTTATTCCCATACAAAATGATATAAGTACATGAGCATTCACTACATGAGAGTAAAACAAAAAAAAACAAAAAAAAAAACAAAAATCTTCTTTTTAAGATATCTACAGGAAAAAACAAGAGTAGAAAAGAGAAGAAAGAAGGTGAATTTTTTTTTTTTTTTTTTTTTTTTTTTTTTTAAGCATCAAAAAAGAAATTTAATAGGGAAATGGATTCTCTATGCACTAAGCATACAGCCCGAGTTAAAGGTGTACTTTAGTTTTTTTTTTTTATTTTTTTTTTTTTTTTTTAATCATTTTTTGTTCTAATTTACAGCAAACGTGACTTAGTTATGCAAGGCAATTATTATAATACTGTCCAGAAGGTCGTTTGAGTCATCATCCCTTTTGAATATTTTGGAATAGATTTTTTTGTTAATCTTACATTTTTAAATTACTCGGTAAAACATTATAAAATTACTCGGTAAAACATTATACAATTTTGGTCCAAGATATAACGGCGATCGTTGAAATAGGGTTTTATTTATTTTTGGCAATTTTTTATATTGCCTGGTCATGCTTCTGGTTGTTACGAGCTGATTTATTCTTTGTGATCCATGACAGTTGCTAATATTAAAAAATTGCCGAAGAACCTTAAACAGATACAAATACTTTAATGGCATAATTTTCTGGTGTATAAAAAGTGGAAGAGATGGTGTCATTCTACTTTTTTGACATATTGATCGTATCGCCATTTTTTGTAGTTTTTCTATAGGAGAACGGATACTATGGGCAGCCGCTCCCCAACAACATACACCTTAACTAATATGGGAATGCATATAAGCATAGTAAATTGTTTTTAACGCATGACAGGTAAGTGATGCTTTTAATATATAAATTTTCCTTGCTATTGAATATAGTCTAGATTTTAGGTAGTTAATATGACTCTTCCATGTTAATTTATTATCCAATATTATACCTAAATATTTCTGTGTTTCTGTATATGATAGTTCAGGACAAGTACATGGTGAAAGTCGGTTACAATACAAATTTATGTCTACAACTAACGTAAGGGGGCCGTGCCTTGGATGTTTCACTTTTCAAATTTAAGCGGGATCTTGTTTAGTTTTGGAGGGAATGGTCACTTTTTCCGGGTGGCCATTTTTAAACGTTGCCGGGTGGACTTTATTTCCGTGTCTTGTAGTGTGTCTAATAAAACAACCTTGTGTGAAGTTAGCATAGAACCTGGGGGGTTAAGTACACTACAGTGTGTCTACTTATATTGACTGTTTTATGTTTAGTAAATGTCTTTCCACATAACGTACAAATAAAGACATATCTGTGAATTAAAAATTAAACAACATGCAAACAGCTGATCGGAACGAATTATTATAATAGGTACAATCAGCAATATTCATTTTTAGTATGTGGAACCCTTACCTCTTCTTTAACTTGTTTGCGTTCTCGCTCATATTATTACTTCGTGTTTGCGTAACACCACACATTTTTTGCGTAGTCAGCAGGAAACATGGTAATACCCATGGTATAATAAAATAATTTACGTCGAACCTATGCGACATTTTGAATTTCCAAAAGGAAATTTTAAATAAGCATCTAAAACTGCAAAACATTGCCCATTTAACCAATTCTCTATCCTTAATAATAACAAAGTTACCCATGCAATCCCAACCGATCTGGGACACACTGTATACGTATATGCGAATGATATCGAAATTAATTCATGATATCAAAGACACATGTCTCACTACAATATTATCTAAAATGTTTGAAAGAAGCGTTTATAGGTGACACTTTAAAACATGTATAGATGCCATTTGTATAAGTAATGACGCAAACTACTTATACCTGCAAAATTAATAGTTACTGAAATCACACATAGAGGCAGGGCAATACCTGCTTGAATCCTTTACCGCGCAACTATTTTTCCTATGCCATGAGCTATCTGGAGTGTTTAAATCTGTGGTAATACAGCGTCTATAATTAATAATTAAAAAGATGCAGGTCGTTGGAGTTTCCCTTTAGAAAAGGCAACCGAGTTAGCTGCCGCTGCAGTTGGGAAGTCAGTTAGTTTTATAAAACAAATTCGCAAAGAATCGGATGAAGCTGGGCCCTCCAAGTTAAAATCTCCTAAGAAAAAACGTCACGTGGAGCCAACAAACAAGATCGATTTTGATGAAGCTGATCAGTGTATTTTACGAAGAACTGTCAAGTGATGATAATGAATGAAAAAAGTTAAAGGTTGTGTGTTAATTTAGTCAATGTGAGTGTTATTAATTTCAATATGATTGTTTCAATAACTGTCCATATTTACACACCAGAAATGCATCAGAATTCAAAATTGTGTTAAAAATCTAACAATTTTAAATGTGTTTACGTTTTTGTAAATCCAAGTATAAATAAATGATTTTATTATACCTGAATCACAATCTCCGTTTTAGACACTCAAATGCGTGCGAAAAAAGGCCTTTAAAACACACGTGCTTTAAAGTTGCTAAGTAACGATACTTCAAGTATGACTTTTGAAACTGTCATCTGGATGAAATAAAAAATCCTCTTAGGTCGCTTTCTGTAAATGCAGAACATTTCTTTGGCTTTTGTACCTATCCTTTGGTTGAAGCTTTCACAAACGCGCGTAATTTAGGGTATGCTTCCAAATCTGTTCCACTTTTTAATCGCAGCATTGCTTTAAAGTTTTGAATGAATGCAGCAAAATATAGAAGATTTAAATACCTTTGACATTTCCTTCATATATGCCAGCATTATGGATGCATTTAAGACTTTATTCGTAAGTAACTTCCTATTCAATCCATGGAAACAACTTTTCATATTCTTTATAATAGGCTTTACTGGATTTGGATTTTACACCTACCAACGTTAATTGTTTAGATTTTACAACAATCGATTTAATGGACGGTGTATTATCTTTTTCAACGGAAATCGTTTAATTCACAAAGACGATGATTTTTATAAGCAAACGTCAAGTGACATTTCCATGGCAATCGTGAAATTACGAACACCCAGCCCACTTAATTAGACATGTATTCGAGTATAACGTCAATATGACTTCATTGTATTTCCTATTTTTAAATTATACTGCAGGTATAATAAAAAATACTATAAGATACACGTGTATAATTGATCTTTAAAGCACTTGCAACGTTAAAGGCACTCCGCTTTGCGTCGTGCCCTACAACTCGTTGCGCGTGCTTTAAGGTTGGAGTCTGCATTTATAACGTTATGGAGATACTGCGTGCCTAATTTTCAGGCGAACCAGTGAACCGAATTTGTTGAAATTTATAGTGTAGTAAACTAATATAATTCTACACAAAATGAACAATTTTGAAAAAAAAATTTCAATTGGTTTGGGAATTACAGTCAAAAAACCGCTTTTTTTCAAAAAAACTTCAATATGTAAGTTTACTCACCTACATTACGCCAATGAAAACCAAAACTTTTTTTGGCGTTTCGTTTTCCTGAAAATTAGGAACGCAAATTCTAATAATTAAAGGTTCACACCTTCACTCTTATCTACATAATAAATTATAACATCGTCCAATGATATGTAAAGTTCATGTGGAGATACATGTTGCACTCGTATTACACAGAAATACCCACCTACTTCCTATATAATATATAAAACACAATTATACTTTATATTCATTTATACCTATGTACTTACCGTTGGTAGGATCCTTATTCTATATTTATGTATCAGGCTATCAATAGAAATGAAAAGACACACTACCGAATTGAAAACCCAAACTTTGTTATAGTATGGCGTTTGATTGAATTAAATCGATTTATTGATTACTTAACAGTTTTTTGCGCATTTTTTTGGAAAGTAATTTTATCCATGGTAGGTATTCTAATGAAAAGTCTCAACGAAAAGAATTGATTTCTACCAAACACCATCCACCTCCCCTTATCGAGATCGGTTACTTCATCGGTACTTTACCTGATTTTCGCAATGTACGTATAATTGCATAAGGTATTCCTAAATGTGATGCAAATACGGAAGGGGCTAATTCTTGGTTTATTTTATGACTAAAAGTTTATATAAACATTCATAGTTCCGCAAACGTTTCGTTACTGATCTACAGGATGTTATAACTTCACCGTACACTTTATAAATTAAACCTGTAATTTGTATATAACACAAGATACAATTTCAAATGCGAACTGTCAAGACTCTAAATAAAATCAAGAGATTATCCAAATAAAGCTAAGGTCATTTTAAAAATTATACATTCATTTGGCTAAGTAGGTGCCTACCGAAAATTGTATTTTTATTTCTCGACAACGGTCGCAAATATGAAAAAATTACAAATTACCAAAAAGTTTCCAAAGAAATCATAAAATCAAATTCTTATGTCGTTCTATGTACCTAACCTGGTCTAGATTATACGATAAATCGAGAACGGAAACAATTCTGTTCTAGATGAGGTTTTCAACAATCGATATTTTATTGTAATTAGAAAGGTATGGTTATCATTTTAAGCATCGAAGGACCATTATAATTTTGTCGTTGCCGTACATACTGCACCATGTAGAATTCTTTAAAATCGATTCTTTACGGTTAATCATTTTTGATCTCCACGTATTTTCGAATAAAACTGTTGGATATTTTTATTACCATATTTAGTTTATCTCAAAGTTAATGTAAAAACCTATTTATTATTGGTGCATAGGTAGATAGGTACCTATGAGGCGCCGTTTGTGCCATAAATATATTTATAAAAATAATGGGGATATACAGAAATGAAAGCAATATATAATATAAATCTCATTAAACTATTAAAATATATCACACATTTCATATTATATATCAATGCCGAAAAGAAATAATTCACATCGCATTTTTATCCCTATCCGCTTTTATTTCCATCACCGCAGTTTAAAAATATCCATCAAATAGCGTGTGCCAAAATGTAATGTTGGTTGCGGTCGGTAGCCGCAGTTTCTATATTCAGCGGCGCGATGTGATTCGCGCAATCAGCTGTTGGTTGTCTTGATGATTTTTGCGGTTGTTTTCGTCAACTGGCAGTAACAGGTGAAAAAAGTGCAACATTTAATTAGAATAATTTTAATTCGCAATCCTTAGACATTCAGGTAAGTTTTTCTAGCTAGTTTACCCGTCGACATGTAGCTGTAGCCTGTAACCTTTATTTATTGGGCACCTTATCATCATTTATTTATTTTGTTCTCTGCATGTTCCTATTTACGTCATTGCAATAGACCTTTTCGAAAATTTTGTTGAAAATTGTCAATGTTTCAGTCCGACTATGGAAATTCAACATTATTTTGAAGAAATAATTGTGGATGTTGATCAACTGGACTACTTATTAATGCACAACAATCATGATGTCAGGCTATTAGAAGAAGGTGGTCTCAAAATGGAAAACCATTGCCATGCTTTTAGTGTCCTGGTCAGTGCTTGTGAAAATGTTCCTGAACTACATGCCAAGCTCTGCAGAGTATATACATTAATTTGGACTTTACTTCAGATAGTGGAAAATAAACTGGAAGGTGGAGTAACAAGTAATGATGGGTTCCATTCTAATGGGGAGTAAATTTTTAGGCTGTGGTTTACCTGACTGGCCATCATTCCAACTAAGTCTCCTACCTACACAATCTGTAGGCAGACCAAGCTATGATATTCAATATGACCAGGTAGCGTTCTTGAGAAATTTGGGCATGTCTTGGTCTGGGATATCAAAAGCTCTTAAAATATCAAGGCGGACCTTGTATAGGAAGAAGGCAGAATGGTCCTTTGAAAATATTGAAGCTAACATTTCTAACGAAGACTTAGCAGTATTAATTCAGGAAATTTTAACTCAAACGCCAAATGCAGGCGAGGAATATGTGTTGGGAAGTTTGAGAGCTCGAAAAGTTAGCGTTGCAAGATGGCGAGTCCGAGAACAATTACATGCCCTTGATCACTTGGGTCGTGCATTGCGTCGACGTACCACAATTCAGCGGCGTATATATCAAGTTAAAGGAGCTAATTATTTATGGTAATTTTGTAAGTTGTTTATAGAAAAAATTAATTTACACTTTTAGGCATATTGATTCAAATCATAAACTTATTTCATATAGATTAGTTTACCATGGATGTATAGATGGATACAGTCGCCTTTTGATATACCTCAGATGCCTTACTAATAATAAGGCGGCAAGTGTGTTAGAATTGTTCAAACATGGTACAAATTTATTTGGGATTCCAAGTCGTGTGAGAGGTGATAGAGGGGTTGAAAATATACATGTAGCCCAATTTATGTTGAACGAAAGAGGTATTGATAGGGGTAGTTTTATTGTTGGGCGTTCGGTGCATAACCAGCGGATAGAAAGACTATGGGCTGAAGTAAATCGAATAGTGACGCGGCATTTCAAAGATTTGTTTCTTTTCATGTCATACAACGATTATCTGGATGAGCATTCTGATATAGATTTATTTTGCCTACATTACGTTTTCCTTCCACGGATTGAAAAATGTTTGGAGGAATTTGTCAACCAATGGAACCATCATAGTTTAAGTTCAGCAAGAGCGAAGTCTCCATTTCAACTATGGTCTCTAGCACATTTGGAAGGACAACATTATGAAAATATTGTTGGAATGGAAGATGACGCATACTTCGAAAACCCAAATTTATACGGACTTGATGAAATGGGACCTCCTCCAGAAATTGAAACCAGCAATAGTGTGGTCGTACCCGAATTCGAATTACATTTATCAGATCAACAGATGCACAGAATAAATGTGAGCATCCCCGATGTTATGTCTGATGATGGCCAATGTGGCATAAGTCATTATCTGAAAATTCGTGAAATATTGTTGGAACATTAATACCTTTATGTTCAAAATAAAAAACAAATTCTGTATATTTTAAATCAATATTGCAAATCAAAACTACACGATATTCCAAAATATTGCACCATGCGTTAAGAATAAAATCCAACTTCTATATGCTTAAAATAATTACTGTAAACCAAACACTGCGCCATTTCCAATACCAAATATCATATTATCTTTAAATGCATCGTAATTTGTATGTATAACAGGCAATTTCAAAACTAAGGCACAGGTGCTTGCTTCAGGGTATATTTTGGTGGTGTTATGGAGAAATTCAATTGTGGGAGTTTGTTTAAATCCTAACGGAGGTATGGTCCTGCATCCGGTCGTAAAGATAAGTATGTCTTGAAGGGAGACTTCTAAATCGTCCGCTGAAACATAAATTTCCAAATAATTTATTTGTGCAATCCTAATTAAAACAAACCTTCACAATCTGCTACAAAATTGTAATAATTCCCTAGAACTCTGTTTTCTATCGAACGTAAATTACTTCCTTGTGGATTTAACACAGGGGAAAATAGTTCCTTCATCTTGCTAAATGTTAATTTGGTTGCGGTAAAACAAAAAAGAGATTTCATATCAGAGGGATATTTATTTATCAAATGGTGAATTTCACAGGACTTCAAGCCACTTTCAAATTGTTCCAGTGCAGGTCGTACTCTGAGAGCCACATGAAATTTACAGACATCTGAAACATAACAAATACATTGTTTTCATTTGAATTTTGACACGAGTGGTTTGAATGTCGTTCATTCGGATATGGGATTACCTTGTTCTGTCTGTCATATTAAGTAAATAGGCGGATTCATGGGTGGAAATTGTGTCATTAAGGCCCAGTCTTCTCACCTCCTAATAACTATTCTCCCAATAAATTCCATAGATACCATTGTTGATACAATAGTTGTCTAATAGTTATCTGACAAATAGATTTATTAGGAGATGAAAAGACCGGCCCTAAGTAGAATACACGTAAATGTCACTAAATTTGACGAAAATTTTATTCCTCATCTTATAAATAATCTGTAAAGGATTTCTGAAAACTAATATCTAATAACTACCTGCAATAAGCTTTTCCTTTTCTGTTATGTCGCTTATGAATGACCATCCGGATATGGAAATCATATCCTCATCCAAAATAATATTTTGCAGATCAACAACATCATTACAGTCGTGCATTGTATGTAAAATTGTTTTCAATGTCCCTTCAGGCACATCATCTATATTAGGGGCCATTCCATCAATTCCATACAATAAAAAATCAAACAATGCTTGAGATATAAAGTTGGGTCCACCAAAACCATGTAGTATTGACATGCCTATTATTTGCCCACAGTAGTAATAATTATTTGCCTGTAGCTGTTCTATGCAATATGTCAAATTTTTTGACTCATTATTGCCGTCAAACAAGCAACTTGTGAGGAAATATGACATACATAATCTAAACATTTCAGCGCTAGGACCCCCACCATCAATTGCGCCTTCTGTGTTCTCGTCAGAATCGACAAAATTGACAGACAGTCGGTTGAAAGGATTAAAGCTTTTTCTTTGTAGGGCAAGCTTGCATGTTAAGAAGATGTCCTCTCTGTTCACATTAAAATATGTGACACTCTCTGTGATTTTATTATGTAATGCCTGTAATTCTAGTGTGAAACTATTCACATTCTGTGTATGGTCATCTAATGATCTTATGTCTGGAAACTCCTCAAGGTCATTCATTGTATAATCCGTTTCTTCAAATGTCCCTTCTGGAACATATTAACAAAAAATAAAAACATATGCAAGAAATTTTCCTTTCTTACCATCATTGTCGTCTTGTACAAGATCAACGTGAGGTCGCAAATACAGCGGTTTTTGACGAAGTAGAGCTTTTAATCGAGCCCCATTTAAATCTTCCATGTCTATTTTTGACAAATAGCCACTAACTGGCATGAGGAAATCAAAGTCAGTGTTGGTGAGAACACTTTGAAAAACTTCTCTCAGATGTTGTTTGATTTCACCAACCTTCCACTGAGTGTACAGTTTGACAGCTGGTTTAGCATAACCTAAAAAATAATATAGCAAAGTAAATTAGTAGGTTTGTTTGATTGTCTTCCAAGCAAATAAAGCAAATCGGCTTTTGTTTTGTGCTCAAAACAAACGGTGATTACCTACTCTACTTGCTTGGAGCAACTTTGATCAGACAAACGAACTAGGCTATTGAGTATAAGTTGTAAATTGAGAACAGTAGGAAACAATACCTCTGAGGATTGGTTTAAAAAATATCCGCCTATAAACATTTTTAGACCAATTTTCATGTTATAGTATTCTTCTAATTTTACACAATATATTGTGTCGTGATGTTAACAAAAACAATATGAACAATTTAATTTAATAATTAAATACATATAGAGCAATTCTATTTATAAATAACTGTCTGATTAGTAAGTAATGCATGTCTTAAAGCAATACAATATGTCCCATTAATTTATTTAATAATAATATTTAAAAAAATGAGCAGGTTTTTGTAAAGAAAAAGTAAATTTAACTAAATTGTGTTGCACGGATAAGTCCTTTGAGACTATTAATACCTCGATTAATACCTACCGTCTTTGAAAGCATCAAATTTTTCATTTCGTTTGAGTGTTTCTTCACAAGATTTTCTCTTTATAAGGAAGACTTCTTTTTCAAAAGGAGTCAACCCACGAGATGAATTTCGACTTTGGCTTCTACTATGTCGTGCCCTCGGAATACTGGGGAACATTTCGTGAATTCTCGAGGATATCATGGACATTCTTGACGATGGTGGTGTTTCGGAAGTATTTCGTCCAGGCAGTGTCGGCACTTGAACAGTAGGACTAATTGCAGGAGTGGTGGTCAAACGACTTGAAAGAGCATTATTGATCACATTACAGAATTCTGAGCTTGTTAGTATCTCCGTCAACAAATCTTTTATTTCAGCTCCACTACCCATTGTCAATAGGAACCTGTCGTTGACTTGCGAATGATCTGTTTCCAGTCTGTTGCAGACAATAATTTAAAAATTATTACAGTATACAGTAAAAAATTGTTAATAAAATAGTTTGCCCATTGGGAATTTATCAAGTAGCTTTAAGAAAGAGAGGAAGCCGTTTAGCAACAACACAAATGCATTTAGAAAATATCAATCAACAAACTTATAAAAACACTTATTAATTGCGTTAAGGTGTGTATAATACCCCCTTCAAACATTTAACCGGATTAAAGGTTTGTTGGTTGATGGAATTTGAGTTGTTTTAAATCCTCATAGAACTGCTGAGAGAAATACCTAATAACAATGCATTTGTTGTTACGCCCATGAACACGTAATCGTGCCAACCAACGAACAAACCTTACTCAGCATTGTTTTGCAATCCTTACCTTACGGCCGATTCTCACTACAGTGCAAGGCATGGGCAAGGCAACGGCTCTGCATGTGCCGTGCCAAATTCGTTATTGTTTTAAATGCATTTAAAGTAAAGTATTAACATTAAGTAGTCTTCGTCTCGGCAACTCAAATGCATTTATTTAAAACAACGATAACGAATTTGGTACGTCACATGCAGAGCCGTTGCCTTGCACTGTAGTGTGAGAATCGGCATTAACTCTAAGAGTAAACGAAAACGTTTTCTTGACAAGATGTAAATGGTTAATCCTAATTGCAGTTTTAATAATGTTGAGGCCATCTGTGCGACGGATCAAAGTACAGTGGATTGAACTTTCGAAAAGGTCTATTGCAATGAAGGTAAATAGGAACATGCAGAGAACAAAATAAATAAACGATGATAAGGTGCCCAATAAATAAAGGTTACAGCTACATGTCGACGGGTAAACTAGCTAGAAAAACTTACCTGAATGTCTAAGGATTGCGAATTAATTAAATGTTGCACTTTTTTCACCTGTTACTGCCTTACTATGGTTGACGAAAACAAAACGCAAAAATCATCAAGACAACCAACAGCTGATTGCGCGAACCACATCGCGCCGCTGAATATAGAAACTGCGGCTACCGACCGCAACCAACATTACATTTTGGCACACGCTATTTGATGGATATTTTTAAACTGCGGTGATGGAAATAAAAGCGGATAGGGATAAAAATGCGATGTGAATTATTTCTTTTCGGCATTGATATATAATATGAAATGTGTGATATATTTTAATAGTTTAATGAGATTTATATTATATATTGCTTTCATTTCTGTATATCCCCATTATTTTTATAAATATATTTATGGCACAAACGGCGCCTCATATGTTCCGTGCTATCGTAATATGGAATCCTCTAACATTATACGATCTTGTAATTTATGAATATATATCTAATGATCGCTTATTTAGGTACTATACTCTTATTTACACAAACTAATTTTTTACCTAAAGTAGTTCTATATAGGGTGTCTAAAATTGAGTAAGATAATATCTATCTTTGTTATTATTACCTATACTTACAGATTCAGTTAAATTGGCAAAATTGTGTAGTTTTTGATGCGGAGGGATATTTCGATGCGATATTTTGAAAAAAAGTGAAAATCGTTATTTTTTAAAAAGTTCAGATATTTTAGTAACAAAGAGTAAAAGTTGCAAGATTCGATGGGATAAATTCAATGCACGCAGAAAAAATTTTTCAAAATGGCGGTTTTCGAGATATTGTCATCAACTTCATCATTGTAAATGCATGGATGCCGTATTGGATTTTTACTCATAGCATTGAATTTATAACTTATAAATTCAATGCTCATAGTTTGATACATGTTTTTTTTTCTTTCCAACCATATACCGGGTGGTGCCCAGCGCGACGCAGCATAAGGATTTCAATGGTAATTTCTTTATAGTCAATTACTAGCTCCCCTAATTATTTTAGAGCAAAAGTCTAAATATGTTTCTTTTAGAGAAAAAAATACTGCATC